AAACATATTAATCTATTATAAAAAGGAGTATAATTTCAAAATAAAAGGGATAATTATAATTTGAAACTTAAAATGATTTTATTCTCCTCTTATTTTCTTTTCAAAAAAAGCTGATATAATAGTTAATGAAAATTTTGGGTACCAATTTATAAAGTAGATAAAGTTTTGAAAAGCTCTCTTTTTGAATGACACTTTTTCTTTCTTTTAATTATTAACCCTCTATTATGTAAATAAAGTATAAAAATTATCTTGAATGATAGAATTGTTTTTAGCTATTATCAGCTAAGTTTTTTTTTTCTCCAAAAATGTTTTAAGATTTTTTTTAACCTTATACCTCATTTAACTAGTTTACCATTTTCACTAGTATTTTAACTTATGCATAGCACAAATTAAACATTTATTATGTATAATTAAAATTTATAATAAATTATATATAAATTTTTTTATATAAATAAATATTTTAAATTTATAATAAATAATTTATATCATAATACAAATCTTTTAATTATTTTAATTTAGTTTTAAAAAATAAAATTTAATGATAAAATACAATAAATAAAATTGAAATAAAAAATAAATAAAGAGAATTATTAAAAGCTCTACCATCGTTTTTTTTTTTTTTTTTTTAAAGAGGAGTCACTAAAAATGTTTTCAAACAAAATAGTCAATTATATTAATATACAGAAGTAAACTTTATTTTTAAATTGAATACCAATATTTAAAAAAAAAATTATCAGTTAATAATAATTTTATATTACAATAAAAATATGATAAATTTAAAATATAATTTATATATTCAAAAATTTATTTACTATAACTTTTAATTATAAAATACTTATGTATTTAAAAACATTTACTTATCATAAAATTTTGTAATATAAATTGTAAATAAACATTTGTGATACTAGTGAAAGAGAAGGAGAAAGGTTGGGAAGAAAGTGATGATTGTAACTTACAAGTGTTTGGATATTGAATTAGGGGGTGGCCCATTTTGTTATCCTCATTGTCATCCATGTTGTAGAAATTCATTATCAGGCCTTCGCATGGGCCAGCCGTAATAGTGCAGTATAGTTTAATTATTGTTCTCAATGAGAACAATAATTAATGGATTTGGTTCCACTAAATTAAAATATGTTCATAATAACTAATCAGAATAAATGATTAAAAATTGAGATAATTATATATAAAATTACAATATCAATAATTTATTTCTATGGGACTTGGAAGAATTAAATCTATAAAAAAACATAAAATTAATTACGATCTCAATCATGATTTTCTAATAATAATAATAATAATTATTATTATTATTGTTATTATTATTATTATTAGTGTATAAAAATACTTTGTGTCTATGTGAATTTCTTAAAAATAATAAATAATAAAAATATACAATAGTAAATGATTATTAAAAATAATTAATAGTATAAATAATTATATTTTTTTTAACATTACATTACAAGTATATTACAAACATGTACATGTATAAGATATGAAAATTTTAAAAAGTCTAGGATATGAAAAATATAGATTGAAACATGTAACAATGTACGCTTTAGGTGTTTAGCTTAATCATGTGATTAATTGTTGTTTTGTTGTGATTCATGTTGTTTTAGAGATTTAAGAGTCAAGGAATCCTGAAAGTTAAGTTGTGTATGAGATATTTATGTTAAATGTTAAGTTGGTTCAAAGGAAGGAAGTGTATATAAGACATTTCTTATGAAATAAATCTCATAAGTTAATATTTTAAGAAAATAGATTGGAGTTAGAGAAAAGGTCTCTAGAGCTAGAGAATATCATATTTTCACTGATCTCTTATACTCCTTCCCTACAACTAATCCAAGGTGACTTGATTGGAGATTCAAGCTTGAGGAGTTGAGAATCTCAAGTTGAGGAAGTTGTACGGTGACTCTAGAGACTTCGATTTTCCTTCTCTTTTCATTTGATTTTAAGCACCTAGAGGTAAGGGATGTTTGTGATTGATGAATTTGTTGTATTGTACTGCTTGTGTGCGAATTGATTTCATAGAATGTTTTTTGTTTTGATTAAATTTAGAAGGAATGTCAAGTTGTTTGAGTTTTGGTGTTGGAAGGTGTCTTGGTGGAGAATTGGATGATTCATGAAATGAAATGTAATGGTTGCATGTTGTGTACTGAGTTGATTTTGAGTTGTTGATGATGTCTTAATATCGTATTATTTGTTGCATGTTGGACCTTTTTTGACTTTCAAGTGAATTTAGCCAAAATGAAATTTTGTTAAGTGCAAAAATTTGCATGACATCAAGTATGGAAAAATTATGTTTTTTTTAAATTATATTTAATTTTGATCATGTCAGACCCAAGATTGGTGGCATCGAACATGAGGAGGGAGAAATATCTAGAACTAGGTGATGTTGGATCTAGGATAGAGTGGTACCCAACATAACCAAGACAGAGGGTCTATGCCTAGAGGATGTTGGGTGCCAATGTGGTGGCGCCGAGCGTGATTTAGGTAGAATCTCTTTCCTTGATTAAGGTTGGGCATGGATTTGGCCATGCTAGATGCTATTAACTTAGAGGACTTTTGCCTCATCTACTCCGGGTATAGGTGAATTGGCGTTGGGCATGGGCAAGCTCAAAACTTTTCTGTCATAATTGACGCTGGGCATAGAAAAAGTGGTGTCAGGCGTGGTATGTTGAAACGTGATGCAGTGTTTTTAAGTTGTTTATAGATTGAGGAATGATCATTCAATTATATATTTGATGTCGTATGATGGTAGTTCATTATGCATTGATATAGGATAATGTATAGTAATATATAAGTTGTTTGAGCTGTAAGTTGATAGCTAATAAAGTTGTAAAGTTGTATGATGTTATAATTGATTAAGTTGCTAAGCTAATAGGCATGTGGTGAAGATACATGTTTTAGTTGAGATACATAAAAATTAAAGAAGAGTAAAGTTGTTTTAGAAATTAAAATATCTCATTTTGTGGATATAAGTTATAGTGTACTAAGAGTCTAGTTGAGAATCCTTTAGTAAGTAATTAGACTTCTAAATGGGTAATTATTTTTAAGTTGTCTTCTTTAGATTTTATATGGAATCAGTATGAGGGTTAGATTGAGCCATATGTACCAGCTGAGTAAAGTATAAAGTTGAAGGGTAAAATCCTTAACTAATTGTTGGAAAGCTGCATAGTATTTGGAAGGTAGTCAACAAACTAATTTCATACAATGCTTAGGTATGTATGCTAAGGTTGTGGTAGGCTCACATCAAAGTTGTCCTACCCTAACAATAGTACTAGATTTTCCTAGTTTAAGTAGCAAAATCTGATAAATCAATTTAAGTTGTATACCTAGCACTCTTAGAGGCTTAACACTGTTTATACTTGACTTGGTTGTGATAGGTCAGACTTTGTAATTCAGTAGGGTCTAATAACTTAAATTGTTCACTCTTTATTGTAGGATATTTCCATAGTTGATATGCATGACAATGCATTAATTGTTCAAGATGTTTACGCTAATAACATTGTTAGTGTTGAAAGTTGTTGTATTGTTTAAATGACAATGTTGTTGATAAGTTGAAAGTTGTTAAGTTGTGTGGTAAAGAATATTGATTATGATGTCCATGTTTTATTGCTTTAAACTTAAGTTGTTGAATGATTTGTTAATTCTTTCATAAGTTTACCTTTTCTTTTCTCTATGGTTGGAAATACAATGATTATACTTAGTATGAGAGTAGGACATAATTAATAGGATGACTTGGTTAGTTGGTAGAGGGTCATGACGGTGGTGACTTAGTTTCGATGATGCTATTCTAATGTAGCATGTTTATATAAAGATGCTTGACTGATGACTAAGATTGTTTTGTATACAATTGTATAGTTTGAGTAGATCTACATATGTGTACAAAGTATGCATGAATGTGTGTGTGTGTCTATATATAAAATATATATATATATATATATAACCCCATCCAGAGATTTATCTTTTCAGTCATATATTCAGGAATTATTTTCCTTTTCTACCCCTATACATGTATAAAGTTGTATTAATTACTTAAAACTATTGAATACCCTAAAATAGTTGAACATTGTTAGTTTTTCTGTTGCATATAATGGTTTTATATTAAGTGTAGTGATCCATCGTATCATTACAAAATAAATTAATATGAGGGTAAAAAAACTTCCAGTTCTTGTTAAAAAAAAATTCTTAAAAATACCTTTGTGAAATAATAATTCTAAAAATACTTTCATTTAAAATAATTATTCTAGTATATATATATATATAAATAAATACAAAAGGAGATTAAATTCTTCACCATGACAAAAACATATTTCAAGATAAAAAAATTATAATATATAAATATTCAACATTCAATATTATAGCACCTAATTATAATTATGTTGTACATTTTAATATTTCCAAAACTATCATTTCATCGTCTATAATTAGGAGAAGAAATGGACCGTAAATATAATTTATTAAGAGAAAAAATAACAACTTCAAAAATATATATTCTTTAAATGGATCTCATTTATTTTCATCAATATCTCATATTTTGCTCTAACATTCTTTTATAATTTTCTAAATCTTTGAGTATGAGTTTATATATATCTAAAAATTACTTTTCTTTTCTGATTTATAGACATGTTCCAAACATTGTCTCAAAATTGATAATCAAATGTTAACTACATTCACGAAACGTGATTTTTATTAATCAAACATCTAAAAATTACCCACAAATGTGTGTATATAAATTAAATACTTAATTTTGTTTAATTTTCTTTTATTCATACTTTAAACACACCCACAAATACCCAACACTTGCCACTGTGAGATGACATGATTTTAGGAGTAGCCGTGTAATACGCAGCAAGAGTTAAATAAAAAAATTAATATATAATATTATGGTGGTCCATTGTGAGCCACCAAAGTCCAGCAGAAAGTTCTTTCAAAGGGTATGCTTTAAAGGGAGCATGTCCTTTCTCTCAATGTCACTTTTATCACCCATACACGTATCATAAAGTATCCAAATCAATTTATTTGAACAATGATAATACAGGACCCAAACAAATAGTACAGCACAATTACAAAAACAACAAAAGCATTCCAATCATCGTGGGGGCTTGGACGTTCAACTACTCTTGCAATTACACTTAGCAAGTGGGACCATCACAAAAACCACCACCTTAAACAAACTTTTACAATTTAATTATGCAAGTATAAAGGGTAACAACTCATAATTGAGACACATTGACATGAATGAAGGAACAAAACTTAAGTAAAGTATCATAAGTATTATTCGTAATGTCATCTGATCAGAATTAGAATTTCACTTCAATAACATATATAATTCTGATTAGAAATCGACATCAATAGTACTTATGATATTATATGTAAGTTTTGTCCCCAATGAACTAAGTCTTAGCACTCTGGGATAAGTGTGTGATCTCTCCTAGGGTCATGGCAATAATAGTACACCATGTAGTTGTTTTGGACCCATTGCATGGCCCTAAACTGCTGAGGGCTCAGACTACCAAATCCAGATGGTGAAGCAGAAGTTGGTTGGCATGAGGAAGAGCTTTGAGAGGTGCAACCTTGGAGTTTGAAGTTTTTGTACCTACCAATGAAGGGTTGGTAGTTATAATTGGCTTTGTATTTTCCATCCTCTGTTGCCCAAGAAGATGCATCCCATATTGAGCCATACACATACATTGGCCTTGAAGGGAATGTGGCATCACTTTTTCTAGGATACCTCCTTATGGGGACATCATCCACAAAAAATCTGCATACATTATTTCCATTATAAGACAAACTAGTAAGCAACAATGCAAAAGCCAGATTCCACAAGCAGGATTATATATCACAATCACGTGCGCGTGAAAAATCCTAGTCATCATCTCATATTGTGCAATGAATGAAAAGTGCTATATCAATGATTTATCTCTATTGATATAATGTCATAAAAAGTTAAGGCCTATTCGACAGGGGATTGTATTCCTGTCTACTTTTACAATAGTGTAGCCACACACATAAAAGCACAATTCACGCGAGTCTTGAAATAAGGCTTTAACTTTGAGTTTGATTTTGATACACTTTTAATTAGATATTTACTGACAATCACCTGCTTTTAAAATAGTTATGACAAAAGTCAACGAATTTATCGTATATTCTATAATTGAATGACCCTTTGAAGAAAAAATGCAAATTTCATGTGTCATATACAGATTAGATGCGAAAATTTATTATCTAGTTATGGATTACTATAGTCTCAATCAATTTAGATGACATGTAATCGAATTTTATTAACTCTTTCTTATAAACTTAGAAACTTAATTATTCGTTTGTTACTTAGAGATTGAGACTATAATAAACCATATAGTAATATCTCTCATGTGTGGACAAATAAAATTCATGCTTAAGTAAGTTGAAAATTGGTCAAGTTATGAGCATGAAAATATTACATTATCTCACTGGGTTTCCATAGAACGGCATAGTTGTGAAAATCCTGTGTTGGGTCAAACCAAAGATGAAACCTCATCTCTCTTCCTATAATATTCCCATCTCCACTTCCTCTTATGTACACATTTGTCTGCAACACATATGGCTTATCTAGCGTGGTGCCAAGGAACTCAATGTCAATTTCATCATGGTTTCCGGGGTGCTCTTGGTTGTTTGAAAGCTGCAATTCTAAAAGAGATTAAAAATTGCAATTGAAACAAGAGATTCAGTTTTCATCATTAGCTCAAGTTGTAGAATGTTGAGTGATTCTCACGTATAGAGATGTAATGACTCCTGCAGTGTAACCAGGTTGAAGCTTAATGGCAGCACCGAAGTAACCAGATCGATAAGAGTGAAGTGACTTGAATCCACTTCCTGTGTCACAAAAAATGTCTTAGTAAGAGTATGCTCTAAGTAGTAGTAACAGTGAAGAGTGGAGTGGAGTGTTAACAAAATGACTAAGAAGTAAGAACCTTAAGAGGTGAATTTAAGGGGAATCGGGAGCCAAATGTGAGAGTTTTTTTTGATAATCATGTGGTACGAACTACGAAGTATCATTCTGCCATGTATAGTCACATGTCGGAATGATACAAATTTACATAACGTACCTGAGTTAGAGTCAAGCCATATTGTCAATGAGCCTTGGTCTAGTCTTTGATGCTGAGGTCCCCAGAGGTTTCTAAATCCTTGATTGAAGCTAATAGGACTAATTTTGGAACTGGGGTAGTAGCCAGGTGAAGGTGGTCCCTGAGCACTACTAGAACACACAATACATGAGAGTACAAGAAGGGAGAAAATAGGAAGAAGCATGTGGAGGGAAGAGGATAGTGATGATGGCATTGTAGTATACAGGGTGACTCTGCTAAAATGCAGGGTGGGGCAGAAGATTTTAGGTTATTTGGTGCTTGTGAAAAGAGTTTGGCTACACAGTTTGATATATAAAGGGGTTTTCAGGCCCTACTCAACCAAAAAGGTGATAAGTTAGTTGATTGGGGAGTTACACATGAGGACAGAAGTTTATCACATTTGTGAAAAACAATAGGGGGAAAATGTTCAAGTAGTGGTGTGGTCTTTTTCCTTATAGTTTCTTCAAGGGAGGGAACTTCCTTTTCAAGTGAATACCTGTTTGATATAAACTTGTAAATTGTAATGCATCACTTAGACATGGTAACATGGAGAAGGAATTACTGTGTTATAGTTTCCTTGATGACATTGATTTAGGGATAACTTTAGATATGCATGGTTCGCCTTACCAAACCACAAAACATCACCATTGAACACTCGGACAAGGTACATATTTTCGATAGAAAAACATGGGCAACAAAAGTGTCACCATGTTCTCTTTGGAAATGTGATGGAAAAGGATAACCTCGTAATGAATGATAACTTTCTTATGGTACTTTTTCACTATTTCATTCAATGTCTAGTTGCTGCTGTAAAATCAAGGTTGTTACTATAATGATATTTTAAGTAATTTAGGTTGATACAAAAATGAGATTCAGTTTTGAATGCCGGTTGTAGAAGTAGTTTGAAAGTCTTAGTGCCACAATTAGAGGTTAGGGATAGTAACTTAATACTATAAGACTTTCAAGATACCCAAACAGCAAACTACTGCATTTAGATTTTAAAAACTGATTCTCCTTGCATGACTTGAATTTGTCATATGCAATAGAGGGGTTTATAATTAATGGGTCAACACTTATCAACTTGAGTGGAACATATAACAACCACAACCGATTTTCCACTTTGCATGTTTTTGACTAATTTGAGCCTGAGAATATCAAGCTGAAGCACATTCATTTTCATGATCACATCTTATTATTTTAATTATGCAACTTCATTGTTGTGTCTGCAATATCAGCAACCTCAGAAATTTCTATCGAACCAACCATGCTATAATATTTGGTATAATTTTATTTTAACTGCTATTGGTCATCTGCATATCTAAAAAAGTAAGAACGAAATCTCAACAACTAGATATAGAAATAGCACAGTTTGTGGTCGTTACTTCAAAGCTTCAAATTCAACCAAACTTTTTTATTTAATGATTGTAAGGCCTATACAGGAACATTAAGAGTTGAACTAGTGCTCACAAAATTGATTCTCGAGTGTTAAAATAATATTTTGTGAACGTAAATTATTTTTTTTTTATCGTCAGTTTTAGAATATTGATTGATCATATACATGGAAGAAAAAAGAACCTCAAACTCAAAGTAGTTAGCAACATATGGGGGTTATGTGAATACATAATTGATAAATGATAACGACCAGTGTATATAGTTGAAGGGCCGTCGACAAACTGCCACATAATGCCATTTTTTTAATCTTAGTCTGTCGGCAACTTCTGAAGGCTGAAAAATTTTCACCAATTCTTAGCTCGTGAATTGAGGAAGATTGTTCTTTCACAGAAAGCACATCCTTATTTTAAGGTACAAAATCTTATGGTACAATTTCAAGTACATAATTCGAAGGGACAAATAGATTGTTCACATTTTTCAAGTATAGTACATACTGAGATGGTTACACCACCTTGTCTCAAACCTTTTAGGACTAAGCAACATCAAAAAAATTATTAGAGACTATACACTGCAGACTTAAGAGTATAACAGCCAAGTTGTTGACTTGTATATTAGCCTAATGAATGCAAATTAATCTATAGCCATGAGTTTAAGGATGCATATAGTTCTTTTTATTTTGAAGAAAAGAAAAGAAATCAATTCAGGTACGCAAGTTTTTGTCCACATTATCATGATCAACAAGTAAATGCGTCTGCCATATGTTTCGCTGCACTGTTTCCATGATTTATAGTTATGGTGCAAAATAATTGTCAATCCTCCCCCTGCATGGAAATATATTCCAATTATGTAAAGATTGCTCTAATATGAAGATGCTATATATATAATTTAAAAGAAAGCTAATTTCACTGTTCAACTAATTTAGATATTAATTTGCCGGCAACGATTTGTATATATATCATATATGAATATATTTTTGAAACTAATTATTTGCATGAGATAGCCCCTTTTGTAGACTCTGCTAAAAAGATGAGACGAACGTGTTTAGTGGAATATTTTTGGGAACCTGTTGGGTGCAGTCTATGAATTTAGAGCAAAATCCTTATGGTCAAAAAATAAAACAAGCTCTCTGCAAATTTCCTACCACGTTCTTCTGTCTGTCATGAAAATAAATTCAAACAGTCTACCACTAAACATGTGGGAGCATTTATATTTATAGAATACTTGTAAATAGTTTTAAGGACCATGGCTTGTGTCTCAAATTTTAAATTTGACATGAGAATATGTTTATCTCTCATGTTAAAATCTTGTCAAAAAAACATAGGAAAAGATTTTCTTCTTAAAGAGGTTTACAAGGGAAGGAGATTCCGATAAGTAACATGATAAAAAATAAAGTATATTAATGAAGAAAATTTCCCTCTTAAAATATAAAATATTGATTTAAGTTTAATTCAATTTTATAAAATTAGTTTGTAAAGTAAAAATTATTCCTTATTTATATGTATTACTTTGATCTTATTTCTAGTTGAGATATAACTACATTTTTGCTTGATTGGATTGATTAATCAAAATCAAAATCTCAAATTGGGGGAAAAAAAAGAAAGAAGACAACCTACCTAATAAGTTATATAAAATATTGAATTGATTCTTAATTTTGCTTTCTAGATATAGTGAGAGAGTGAGCCCAAGATTGTTCAAACATAATTAACCATCTTCAATTCAAATCTTAGATATACAATTGTATTAAATATTTATAAGAAAAAATTTGTCACCTATGATCTTTTTGTCTCAAATAGGATTGTTTAGTGAAAAATATTGGTTGTTTAAACAAAAACCCTGTTTAGTGAAAAATATTCGTTTTCTAAACAAAAACTAGTATCTTAAAAGTGTATACTTTCAGTTAAATCCTGTGCTTAATTAATATTCCGTACGTGAAATAAAATAACAATTTTGTTTGTCTTTGAGTAGCTCAAATTCAAAGATATAGGGCCCCGAATAATTAAATTTGGTCTACATCACCCTCCTCCAATTGTTAATAAAGTACTCATTCTTAAAGCTTTCAACCCCACAACCCTTTGGTGGATCTTACAAGTTACAAATGTGTTAAAAAAAATGTTTCCTTTTTTTTTTTTTTTTTTTCACACACACGTGTATCTAAAATGTAAAATAAAATAGACAAAACCTAAACTCATTGATTAATTGATTACTTTATTAACAATGTAATATTTATTTTTCATAGGCTTTGGTTTTTCCTTCTTTGATGACAATATGATATCAGAGAGGCGACAGGATAAGGAGCCTTGTATCTGCAAAGATCTTCTTTATTTTGTCTGTTATAATATGAAGCAAAGAATAAGAAACATGCTTACGTGAGTTTTTCAATCGCATTTTGATGTGGATTTAGAAAGAAAAAAATGGACTCTTTTGAATTTTTTATCCAAGGAATACTCCGGATGATTTTCCTATAAGCATGGTAACAATCTAATACTCAAATTAACGAGGATTTTAACACAATAATGATAAATCATGTTATAAATGTGTATTTTGACATTTGATAATGATAAATGATATATTTAAGGTTGATCGAGTCCAAGACCCCTGTTACAGGGTATTTTTGAAAGAGTTTTTGTCATTAATTTATTGTTCGTCAAAATATGATTCCTTTTATTTAAAGGTAGATTTTAAATATGTTGTTAGGTCAGGTAAAATGTGTAAGTTTTAATTTTTTTATTGTAAAAAAGTTTCTTTAATTTTTATTCCTCAAAATTTTGAATTCATTGTTACGCTTTTAATAAAAATCAAGTGACCAGTAACATCCACTAATTTTATTGTAGCATATCAAGATGTGTCATCTTTAAAAAAAATCTAAATCTTTAAAATAAATATTATTTATCAGTTCTTAAAATGAATTTTAAAGACTAAAATTAATGATTTTAACTATATGAGAGATAAAAGTTTTAAAAATATTTTACAAAAACTAAAACTAAAATCTTTTCATTTTACTATATGAAAAATAATTTTTGAAGTATGAAAAATAAAAAAAAATAATTTTAGACATATTGTCTTACAATGGATCACATGTTATAGACTTATTCTCAATTTTTCACGGGTCATGTCGACATGTTATCTGAGCCAAGATAAATTCACGCGGATTAGACTTACATGTGTCCAATCCTACGAATCTTTCTTTACTTTTTGTATTGTGCAATTTTTTTTAAATTTTTTTTCTTATAAATGTTATATAATTATAATTTTTTTTATACAAATGGACTTTTTTTTTTTATTTTTAAATTTAAGTAAACACATCTTTTTAATCAACCTTATAAAATTAGTTTGTAAGATGAGAGTTGTTTAGGGTTATTTAGATAATTATAATATCGTCTTAAATTAATAAATTTGAGTCTAATTCAATTTGTAAGATGACGATTATTTTTTATTTATATCCTATTTAATTGTCTAATCTTTAATTAAGGTAAGACTTAATTTTATTTTATTTTGGATACTTTTAGGGTTGAAACATTGTTTTTTTTACGCTCCTTTACAAGTTCTGATGTGAAACAGTAAGAACATAATACATAAGCATGTAAAACACAGTAAAGGATACATGCTGCACTCGCTAGTGGATAAACACCATAGTCGTGTTGTGCACATTATCACGTGATGTGAAATTTTTGTACCAATATAACTGTATTCTGCTCCCTAATTCTGCTGAAGTTAAGAGGTTTCGCCATAGCGGTATGAGTCAATGAAGAATATATATGAATTATGGCATAAATCATGAATGGATTAAACACTAGTAGGGTCCATGATGTTATTCAAATTTTAAACAGAATTATTGCACATAAAATACATCTTTGCTGCCTACCTAAAGTAATATATCTCACCACTTGGTTATATCATTGTGGA